GTGCACATAGCATAGAAGGAACAACAGCTTCTGCTCTTTTAAACTGGGAGCAGCAGGCGTTTAGTGTCAGTGATGAACTAAGAGGCTTATGAAAATAAGGTATTTTCTCAGAATCCCTCTATCAAATCTGTTTTATTGCCACAATTAATGCTCCAATGTTTCTGGGCAGATTTCTAAGACATTCAGTGACTGAGATAAAGTAGCATTACACTGTATTTTTCAATATTTCTTGTATGATATAAATACTTGTCATATTAAAGCCAGTTGCTTGAGCAGACAAGTGTAAATATGCTATTCTACCGATATCTCTCCTAAATTCTGCTGTGATGCTTTATCATGATGAGGACTCTTCCAGACAGAGGGTCACTCAAAACTTGGAGGCTATCCCACTGTCCAGCTAAAGCAAGGAGGCAGCAATACAGGAAGATGATGGAGGCATATGATCACAGTATAGACATTGGCAAAGGCATAACTTCATACTGCATGGGAGAAGACAATGGTAAACCATTCCTTGTCTATGGAGATTCTCAGTCATCTAGGTCATGGTTGTCCCAAAGGTGCTTTTTCAACTGAAGAAGCTTCTTGGATGAGAACCAAAATATCTTCAAAGAAAAGCCAGAAAGTCCAGTTACCTCTTGAAAAAGCACCTTTGGGATAAACAATTCCTTGTATTTAACAAGAAACTGCATGGATAGACAGTATACAATGATTAATAAGATACTTCCAGATGGTACTCAACATGTTATTGAAGAAGAGATGAGGATCTTTATGAGTATTAATAGTACTTATGATGAGGCTGGATCATAAGATCACCACTAGTGTCTAATTGTAGTGTCGCTATGGCGGATAAGAAAATCCAAAGTTTCAAAGCCAGAATTACAGTGAGACTTTGGAATGTAAATAATGTAAGTGTGGAAAAAATCAACACAGTAACAGATTGAATCAATCACCAGTTGTTTGTAAAAAATAATAAAGGTGGGATACAAAACAAAAAAAAAACAATATTGATATATTACACATCAGTGAAATTAAATGAACACTTTGGGGTTATTGGGATATCCAGATCTTCGAGGACTAATCGTAGCTAGAGCTAGTCTGGTCTAGTGGTTAAGGCACCAGGCTAGAAACCAGGAGATTGGGAGTCCTGCCTTAGGCATGAAAGCCATTTTGGGCCAGTCCCTGCAGGGTTGTTAAGTGAATCTGTTTTCCCCATTTACTTTGTTGTTAGAAGAGTACAAAAGGGGATCACAGGACATGAGGACACTGTAACTGTCATGCTTCTGAATTTCAGTCACGTGACCATAGAGATGGTGCAATGGTTGTAAGTGTGAAAACGGTCATAAGTCACTTTTTTCAGTGTAACTTTGAATGGTCACTAAATAAATTGTTGTAAATTGAAGACTGTCTGTACTGAACTCCCTATATGACTTTGAGTTGTCATTTTCTCAGCCCAATCTACCTTAAAAGATTGCTGGGGGCGCGAGGAGAGATATAATTAGGAGGGGTTCACTATGCACTTGGTCTTGAATTCCCGAACAAAAGGCAAGGTATGTAATTAATATAAAAACCCCAAATAAAATCCTGTTATCTTTAAATTTTTATTAGGCATATTACCTTATATGGGGAGGTAAAGCATCAAGTCTAGTTTCTGGGCTCCACACAATGGCATCAACTCTGCTTTCATGTTGAAAAGTCCTGAGAGTTTTATATTGTATTCCTTCCACTGCTGCATCTTCTTCCTAAAGATGAAGTAATATTTTGATATGCTTCATAACAATTGAATAGGCTGTTAAAATAAAACCTACCTCCTTGCCATAAGACCCTTGCATACTCTTTTCCCTTGTACACAAAATTAAGTGAATATTACAATCTGATGCATATTGGTCTGGGAATAGCTCCCATTGAACTAAAAAAAGGATACCATTCTAAGAAGACAAACATAATATTTTACTGAAGCAATATTTGTATTTTGCATATACACAGTGAATCTGAAGGAAAACTAATTACTGGGTTTAAAAACTATGCATTTTTTTCTACAAAAGTGTCGGGAACCGAATGTTTCCAGGATTACAGGACAGCTTGGTATTATGGATAGATGCTTTTTTATTTATGCTGGTATTGATCGTTTGCTGCCCAAAGCTTTCAGGAATGGAAGACAAAATAAATAAATAAGCAAATAAATACAAGAGGTATTACGAAAAAGGAAGCCTTATTATAAATCTTATTATGAAATTTCATAAATGCTATAAAAAGGACAGTTTGTTCCTCTATTTCAGCTAAAACAAAATCCTGGATCATTTAAAAAAGTAATGTCTGTTAAGGCATGCACTTTGTCTTATTATGTTTTATTTTATAAGAGACTTATCTCGAGAGAAAATTGGGACATGTGGAAGAGGGAGGAAATCGCAATCATAAGCGGTCAAGCAATAAAGAAAGGCACAAAGTGAGATTGTAATAATTACTTGAGCACACCAAAAATGTTTTTGCACTTAATATATAGGTTGTAAAAATGCCTTGCCTATACAATACATGGGTAATAAAATCAAACTTTTTGATGAATTCTATCTTGCCTGCTTTAATATGAATTTGATCATTGTAATTCTTTCATTTAAGAATGATACTAAGACCCATCACTGAGTCTCCTGGGGAATTCAGGATAATGGCTGAAATGAACTGCAGCCCTCCAAAGCTTATCCCTCAATACATTTTATTAGTTTTAAACAGTACAATACTTTGCTGCTGCTTCTGCAATGGAGTCACCAATTATCCTTTGGAAACTTCTGTTTTATGTATATCTTGTCCATTGAGTTTCTAAAACACTTTCCTCAAATTTCAGATGTAACTCAAAATGTAGTCTTTATTTCCAAATTAAGGCTTCCACATAAATTTAAGAATGATAAGAGTATACTAACCTGGAATCTGCAAGTCCCAACTACTACGTAATTATTGCCGCCATATGCAATGAGTGATTCTGCAGTGCCACAGTCAAATGGATTGAATTCTACCACATGGACATAATCCTTACATTCCACAGTATAGGCTGCTCTTCGGAAAGTCTCCTGCTTCATCTTAGGTTGAAGGAACTAGAAGAATACTTTCTGTAGTTGGATAAGAATGGCATTCTTAACGCCTAATTCTACAGGTACATTTTTCCACTAAGAACTTCAACCCTACAGCTTTGATAGCTTAATTCTTTAGAACTTAATTCTAGAACTTTATTGTCACTTTCAATGTATGTTGTATGCTGATTGGCATACCTTAAACTGAAATCTTGTTGCATACAGCTCTAAAAAGGTCACTGCCTCCAATATACACTACATATATTACCTAAGCCCTTAAATATTTGAAACTACATTTAAACCAGTGCAACCAATGCATAATAAAGAAATAATAAGAGATGGCAAAATCAGGCATTTTGGGGACGGTTTGTGTTAGCTAACCTCTTGATTAGCAGTTCACCGGCATCTACTTCTCTTTGCTGATGATGTAAAACTATTCAACACCATCGACAATGCTGCTACCCTTCAAAAAGACCTTGACTATGTGTCAGAATGGTCAAACAAGTGGCAACTTCAAATTTCAACCAACAAATGCTCTGTCTTACCCATTGGCAAAAAAAAAATCAGAACATAAAATACAAGCTGGATGGACATCACCTTCTAGACCACCCGCAGTCTGCCAGAGACCTTGGAGTACTCGTCTCTAATGATCTAAGTGCCAGAGCCCACAGTAACAACATTGGCAAAAAGGCATTAAGAGTTGTTAACCTAATCTTGCGAAGCTTCTTCTCTGGTAATATTGTACTGTTAACTAGAGCATATAAAACATTTGCTAGACCAATTCTCGAATACAGCTCATCTGTCTGGAAGCCACACTGCATATCGGACATTAATACAATTGAGCGAGTCCAGAGATATTTCAGGAGAAGAGTCCTCCACTCCTCCGCTCACAACAGAATACCTTATGCCACCAGACTTGAAATTTTGGACTTGGACAACTTAGAACTACTCCACCTTCGGCCTGACCTAAGTGTAGTACACAAAATTATCCACTACAATGTCCTACCTGTCAATGACTACTTCAGCTTCAACCACAATACACGAGCACACAATAGATACAAACTTAAGCTAAACCATTCCAAACTCAATTGCAGAAAATATGACTTCAGTAACAGAGTGGAATGCACTACCTGACTCTGTAGTTTCTTCCCCAAACCCCCAAAACTTTAACCTTAAGACTGTCTACAGTTGACCTCAACCCATTCCTGAGGTCTGTAAGGGGGCGTCCATAAGTGTACCAACGTGCCTACCATCCCTGTCCTACTGTCCCTATTTATTCGTATCCATTTCATGTATTAATAATCATGTAATCTTATATCTGTTATCTAATACATGCTTGACAAAATAAATAAATAAATAAATAAAAATAAAAAACTGAGCTCAGCCGGGCTGTGCAATGATCACCCCCAAAAGTCCCAGGGGGAGGCAGGCTTAGAAGACAGCCGACTGAAGCGGGGATTCCTGCATGAAACAGTCTCGCCCCGTATAATTCCATTCTTCACCTCAGAGGAACCAAACCTCTTCTTCCGCAGGCCTAGATTTACGCGGGAAAAAGAAACTGTCGAACGCGCGCGCGCACATACACACACCCCCAAACAGCCAAGAACAACTTTCTCCACAAATTTACCCATTAAATTCCCGCGGTTACTTCGCCAGAACACAGGACTTCCGGATAGCTTCACTCTCATACCCGGGGAAAAAAAAACACTTCCGGGTCGTCAAAGGCTGCCGCTTTCCGATTGGCTGATGGCGGAGCGTTTAAAAATGAACCGCCACGAGCGGCTGCTCGAGTTAAAGGTTCTATTTTTTTTTTTTCTCCCTTGACGGCGCGGTGAGTTTGAGGGAGGCGAGCGACGCTGGGAGAAAAGCGCATTTGGGACTTGAAGTGTGTGGCCAACAAGTAAGGGAGAGGGATGGGGGTTCTGCTTTGCTCTTACACCGAATCTAACTACCTCTTTTCATAAGATCCGAAAAGTCTGTATAAGCATAGAGGGGCGGCATCTAAATATATATATATATATACCCGACTCCTAATGGAGCAACCGGGAAAAAGCTCGCAGGCAGAGCATGACTGTAGCAGTCTCCTCCACTAATTATATAGCCATCATAACTAAGACCCACTAAGAGGTTGCTTTGCTTCCTAGATTTTTTAAAACATATTTTAAAATTTGGCTGTATCCGTTGCCATGCCTTATATGCAAAGACGTCGACTTCGTAAAAAAATATTTTTGCCTGTTCGGAATCGCCTATTTATCTTCTTTGGATAATTGCAGGCTAATTTACCTGTGTTTAAATTGGCAAAGGGGTTTTTTCAAGGTACAGCTATACTGGCTAGTTGGAAGTAAGAAAAATACGCTTTAACCTTGATGTGTGGGCTTATCCAACACATTGTCATAAGCACACAACCGTAAAAGTGTTTTCGCTTAGCTTAATGTGTAAATGTAATTGCAGTGTTGTATTGGAATTGGGTTGAAGTCAGTGCTGAAATTCAACCAAGCAAGTATAGAGTAGGTGATGCTTTGCAAAATAAAATAAAAAAATGAAAATTGGATTGTTTTCATTATCATTTTTTAGTTCAGTTTCAATTTTTAATTTTAGTGCCTTATTAGAGACTAATGTGAGATGAATAATAGACATGCTGAGAAGGATTTTTCTCCTTTAGTAGGCTGCTCTGTTTTGCTAGGGTGCAGTTCTTCCTTCTGTAAGACATTATTTTGGCCTTTCAGTCAATATAGTAGACAATTATTTAATTGACAAAAACTATTTGGTAAGCTTTATGCCATCATTTGAGTCTCAGTCCAAGTTCGTATTGATTCAGAGGTAATAGATTATTTGATCATTGTCTGATTTTTAAGCTATCCATTCATTTGGAAGTTGCCTATTCACAGAACTAGGTGGCTTACAGTGATAAAATGAGCAGCAACAATACTAAATTAAATGCATTGATAAAAACAAAATCCCTTAATTGCTATAGGCCTATTTATGGTTCTTTATAAAAGAGCACCTTTTTACTCTCTTTTTTAAAAAAATCATTGATTTTTATCCACCCTGCTTATAGGTAATAACCAGAAGTCTGAATTGGACCTGGAAGCCAATATAGCTCTCACAACATAAACGTTCCTTTGCTAAGCCACTATTCAGCAGTAGTGGATTCTGTGCTAGCTGCAGCTTTTAGGTTATTTTCAGGGTAACCACATGTGGAGAAAATGATGTAGTCAAAATATGAGATGTCAAGGGCATAAGTCACTGTCTTCAGTGACATCTAGTCCAGGAAAGGTCAAAACTGGCAAGTATGTTGAAGCTGACCAAAGGCTCCTCTGACTGCAACCTTTACTTCCTGATCTGATGAGAATTGTGAATCTAAGAGGCTCCCCTGACTGCTTGTCTGGCTACACAGTGAGCTCATTTGACAAACAACAAAAGTAACTTAAAACATATTCTTCAGGCACATTAGAAGTAAAAGGCAAGGTAGGTGTATGTTAATGAAGAAAAAAAAGTGGCGAATTGGTAATGGGTAATGATGAGAGGTCAGAATTGCTCCCTTTCTACCCCCACCAAGAGCTGTGGTGGTGCAGTGGTTACAATGCACTATTGCAGGCTAATTCTGCTGTCTGCCAGCAGTTCGTTTCTCACCGACTCAAGGTTGATTCAGCCTTCTATACTTTCGAGGTTGGTAAAATGAGGACCCAGATTGTTGTGGGTAATATGCTGACTCTGTAAATCTCTTAGAGAGGGCTATAAAGCACTGTGAAGCGGTATATAAGTCTAAGTGCTATTGCTATTTTATGACTATCTTCTCTCAGAAGGGAAATGGACTCCTAGCTGCTGCTTATTAGGTTATTGGAGGAAGGAGAGAACTCCAGCTTCAACAAGACAAAGGGTAAGAGAAAACTTAGACAATTTAAAGAACTGAAAGAGTCAGATGATTGCATCCTACAATACTAAAGAAACTAGTAGGAACAATTGCTAAACTGCTCTTAAGAATTCTTGGAGGCGAGGCTGGAGGAGAGCAAATATCTTCAAAAAGAGGATGAAGGAACACATGGGAGACTTAAGAATTTTCAGTTTGAAGTCTATATTGGAGAAGATTAGATTACAAAGCAGCATGTTTGTGAGCATTTCAATAGCATGCAATTACAGTCCTTGTTTAGTGACTGTCTCATTTAGTGACCATTTGAGTAACTGTATGACCTTCATAGCTCTGTAAAGCAAAAGGAAGCTGAAGTAAGATCTTATGCTTGTGCCACACTTTAAAAAATTAAATTATAATTAAGATGGACAGGTTCAAGTGATGACTTCTGGATGGGTGGAGAGAGACTACTGCTTCCTTTAAGGCCTGTGGCATTATTTTCTCTCTCAAGGAGATGTTTACCTTCCATGCCGAGTTCATGCCCTCTCCAACCATATTTACAAGACAAGGGCATCTATTTAATCTCTTTCCATAGGGGTTACTGTCCACATCCTCAGAAGTCACAAGTTTGAGAGTATTTTAGTGATCTCACAAAATGTGATCTTGTAATTTTGTGAGGTAATATGAGATTGTCATTTAATGGGCTTCAGAAGTATGCTTTTTCAATTGCTGTCCCAATTGCAATTTCCCTTGAAAATCTAGTCAGCTGATGCTTCCTAGTTTTCAGAAGAACAATTAAGACAGAAGGAGGGCATGTTATCAATGAAGACTGGAATATGATGACCACGTGGTTTTGTATATTTTTAATTTAATGTCAGTTTTGTTTATAGTGTAGGTGGGTTTCTTATTTTTGAGAGGGTGCTTTTTATGTTGATCTTAATTGTTGACTGTCCAGAGCTTTTAAGAATGAGAGGTATATAAATTAAGTAAAGAAAATGCCTGGAAAACTAGGTATTGGCAATTAATGGTTACTGCTGTACAGATTGTATTATTGCAGAACTCTGTTTTTATATTAATTTTAGGTTATGCTATTTTTATGCTTTTATGAAATAAGCTATCTAAAATTCTTCTGACTCTTTCAGTACGGTATATAAGTAGAAACAAATTAAACACTCACGACTTTAAAAGTGAGCCCTATTCAAATAATTAATTTAGATAATAAAATAAGTTTGTCAGGGAAGAATTTGTTTATAATTTTTTGAATTCCTATGCTGATTCTATTTATCATATGTCAAGTATAAACTATTTTCCTCTGCGCTGTCTTATCATTAAGCTTCCTGTTCTCAGTTACATTGTTTTCTGCTTATGATTCATTTTCTAAATGTTAAACATAGTGATGACTGACTAATGGTTATTTTAGCTACAATTGATGGGAATTATAGGCCAAGTATATGAAGAGACCCAAGTGGGAGATCCTACTTTATCATCTTTAATATATAACTTCAAAGCCAGTTTTTCAAAAATCTTGAACTGCAGTGCCCAGATTGGATTCTATCTTGTATTTAAGTGTAATACTGTTGTTTCCTAGGATGTCCTTTTGCCACATAGTTACCTTGATAACCAATTTTAGGTGGCTTAGTTTTGCTTCCTATCCAATTTTGTATTTTGAAATTTTGCATTTTCTTCCATTGCTGCTATCTTCTTTTTAGAAGCCACTGTAAATTCTTAGTATTTGCAAGTTGTCCTGTACGATTTAACATATTTTTTTATTATTTAGGATAATGACTCCTCTTCAGCAAACCATTTGGAATATGATTAAATGTTTCCGAAGAAATTGGCGCTTATTTTCAGATTCAGAAAGGACTACAGTGTGTGGGGCAGATTGTATGCTGATGGCTTTGCACTTATCTGTTGCTGAAATTAATAAGAAGGTTAATATATATTGATTTCAGGGACTTTTTAAAATAGGTCAATGAGTCCATAAATCATTCCAACATGGGTCTCTAGTCTAAGACGGTAATAATAAAATTGTTGTATTGTTGCACCCAAACATGTTTGAAGGGTATCTTAATAATATTTTGTTCATTATTCTGATGTTTGGGAATAGAAAAGTATTTTACCTCTGAAAAACTACTAAAGTATTCATCAAAATCTTGTTATTTTCTTTGATTAGCTGTCTCATAAAGAGTTAATTTAATATCTTAGCTTGTGCATCATTTAGGCTTCAAACAAACCCTAGTTCCTAAATTTGCTATAAGTTCTTTGTTTAAATAAGAGAATGTGAGTATGCACGCTCAAATCTCACAAGTGTCTGAATGAAGAACATGTTTTCTGTTACATAGAGAGATGGTGTTATATGGTAGTTAAGATGTACAGTATGTCTGGGAGACCCAAAGTCAGTGGGGAAACTCAGTAGGTTTTAGGTTGGTCGTTCACTTTCAGTCCAAGTAGGAATGTTTTAGTGGTTGCATTCCAATGAAATACCTTCCCAAGGGAAACAAAATTAACCTCCAGGTTTTAGATAGAAATATGACGGTCATAGCATTGGAGGCAACCAGTGCACAAAAACTAGAATACTTTTTAAATTGCTCCCAGTAACTTGCTTGGTTTTTAAAACTTTTTTTGGATGGCTTAATCATTATATGGTGATCTGCACTGTGAAAGGAAAAGGGATATATTAAACAATTGTTATTAACACTGGAATCGTTTTTTCTTTAATCTCTCTTCAACTGCATGCAGTTGAAAGATGAAGTATCTCATCAAACATTTCCAAGAAAACTTACTTTTTCTGGCGAGATCAATCACAGAAATTTTATGCTCAAAGGAATTTATGCTCTAAAATTGTAAGCAGAGGAAAAATAAGGGAAATGTAGGAAGTAAATCATTTTCAGCTTTATCTGTAATTCCAAATGCAACTTAAATATCTTTGTTATGCCTATTTCCAACATAATGTATATAAAATAATGTATGTTTTAAACTGAAAAGCTAAACTTGTTAATCTGATATAATATAAAATCAAGTATAAATATTACTTTTACCTCACAAAATATGATATGACTATGATAGGAGTTAACCACGTGCAGTTATAGAAATGTTCAGCTATCTTTGGCTTATTTTATCTGTTAAGGAATAACATAAACACTCTGGGTTATGGGTGTCCAACATTTTAGCTTTCCTGGGGTTCATTGAGTGAAGAGGAATTGTCTTGGGCCCTGTATAACATATATAATATAGCAAAAGTATCTAAATCATATCATAATGTTAAAAAGTTTATGATATTGTGGAGCCACATTTCTAGCTTTCGCGGGCCACGTACAGCCCACAGATTGTGGGCTGGACATGCCTGCTCTAAGTGATGCACAAAATATATATAAAATGTTCAGTGAAAGTCCCAAATAAAGAATCCAAATAAAGAAAATGACCTGGTAACTTACTTAAAAAAGAATTTAAAAAAATATACAATTTATAGAACTGCACATCTCGCAGAAGTGTTCAAAAATTAAAACCACCATAACAATATAAATGCATGAAGTCTTTGTTAAAAAATAATCCCCAGAAAAAAACTACATCATAAAAACACTTCACATAATTGCTGACCCAAATGCTTGAGGGAAAATCTAGGTCTTGTTAGCCTTGTGAAAGGCTAACAAGATTGATGCCATCCGTTTTTCTGGGGAGGTCCTGTTCCATTGGACAGATATAGCTGCAGAGAACTCTAGCTTTTACAACTGTAAAAAGGCACCTGCATTGAAAATGTAAATTAAAGAATACTAATATAGAAAATACATTCAGATTCTGCAAATGTTAAAAGGACTGGGAAGAAAAGCTGTAAAAGAAGCATTTAATTATTTTTCCATAGTTATATCTTTAAAAGGCATTCATCAGTGTCATGCAAAAAAAATATTACTTTTATGGAAAAACTCATTTTTAAACTTTGATACAAAAATATGATTACTACAAAATAATGTCGGAACTGCAAAGCTTTAAGAATTGTAGATTTTTCTTCATTTTACCCTTGTGAAATACAATATTCTTGTTGTCTATCACAGACTTAAGCTGTTGAACTTTATGAACTTCCTTTATGAATTAGCCAGCTGGCATTTGGTCCTAGCAAAACATTTTCTGAGTTCTACCACAAACTCTTACAGTCCTTTCTATGAATAATATGCTGTCATGGTGGGCACCTGATCATGAAAACTGATATTTGGACAGCATTTTTATTTGGATTTAAATTGTTTTTATAATACCAGTATAAACAAAGTTAAGCCCTGAAAATTCCTCATCTTGTGAGAAAAGATTTTGACTGAATTATATTGGAACTTAACTAGCTGTTGCATTTTGAAGAACTGGTTTCAGAAACATTAATGAAAAAATACATTCCACTATCTTTAAACTGCAATCTTATACCATATGGAACAAATCATTTTAATATCCAAAAACTTAACAATAAATCAGACTAACTTACATTTAGGTTGCTTTTATTTTAATGGGGAAAGTACAACTTAGAGCAAAACTTGAAACAAGTTGAATGTTTTGTTGGACAAAAATTCCTCCAAGTGCTGTTGGGCTAAAGAGAAACTTAGGTATTGTTTGATAATACAGATAATACAGTATAAGCTCACAGTAACTTTCAAAGCTAGTATTACTGTTCCTAGTAAACGTCATTGTTATTCAATTAGTACACTGTATAAATGTAATTCAACAACCAGTATAGTGTAAAAACATTTGATCCTTTCATATGTCACATTTCCTTTCTATCTATTCCTTCAGAAAATATATTCATGCTTTACCTTTCTCACAACAACCATGGCTTAGTTGCCTGACTATTCAATTATTTACCCTTAGTTCAGGGTGAAATGTTCCTGGTTCGGACCGGATCGCCTGATCCGGTAGCGATGAAGGCGGGTGGTTCGGAGAACCGGTAGCAAAAATCCCTGCCCCCCCCATGCCCAGCTGAGCCGCACAATCATCAGAGGCTTTTTTTTTTTTACTTTTAAAAGCATTTTTTCTACAACCTCTTCAGCGGGAAAAAATGCTTTTAAAAGTTAAAAAAAAAGCCTCTGATGATCTCACGGCTCAGCTGGGATCGTCAAAGGCTTTTAAAAGAAAAAAATCCTTTTTTTCTTTTAAATGCCTCTGACGATCCAAGCTGAGTTTTCTAAAAAGCCTCTGCCAATCAGACAATTCAGCTTGGATTGTCAGAGCCTTTTGAAAGCATTTTTTTACAACCTCTTCGCTGAAGAGGTTGTAGAAAAAATGGTTTTAAAAGTAATTTTAAAAAATTGGCCACGCCTACCCAGTCACATTACCCCCCCCATGCCATGCCCACAGAACCGGTAGTAACAAATTTTAGATTTCCCCACTGCCTTAGTTGCTTGGTGGAAAACCACAACTTTTCTTTCATGAGAAGATGGGCAAAGCCCAGGCTACCCACTTACCAAAGCAACAGGAATAACAAATGGCAACCATTATCTTCTCTGCGATTTTGCTCCCTTGTTTTCTATTTCCTGCATATTTTATTCACAGACAGTGCATGTGAAACTTTGCATTGATTAAATGTATCCAATCAAACAGATGCAATATGCAGTAGATGCAGGAATCATGAATTATCACAAATATCACAAGAATAAAGCAAAAGATAGAAAAAAATTATACACGTGAAGGTGTACCTGGGTGGCTTGGTTCAATGTCATTGCTAGCTGACCTCACAATGAAGAACACTTTTATAAACGTCATAAAATGATAAGAATGTAATCAGTTATAGTTAAATTTTCCTGATACAATAGCTCTGTCATTTCAACCCAGTTAAATTTGTAAAACATTTTTATATCTTGACTGATGTTGCTGTAAGCAGCAGTACACAGTTATTCTGAATAACTCTTCTTTTTTTATAGCTTTGTGGCGAGTTTCAAGCATCTCTTAGTGAAGTGATACTATCTTGGAATTACTTTGTTCCTGACAAGTTAGGTATATTACCTGAAAATGCAAAAGCTCCTGAAAATTATGCAGACATCAGAAATACCTATGCTAGCTTTTTAAAGCACTGCAATATGATGGATCTTGTAGATATATATATAAAATGTGAGACACTAGGACTGCAAATTGAACCTATACCCTCTGTAAGTATGTGCCATTATTGATTTGAATGTACAGGTATCAAATAAAAATTGTTTCCCTAATATAAATCAGGGAAATTTTATAGCTTTTAGTAAAGAAATATTTTCAACAAACCATGGTCAAAGCAGTAATGTCTAACTTATTAGGTGTGGGTTAATAGGAATTTTTGTAAAGTGCAGTAGTATCTTTTGTGATTTTATTTAAAAGACTGATAGGATGGCACACCTTTTTATGGTATGGCAAAAATAAGATGCACAGCTATTTTCAAAGGCATTATGTAAGAAATGGAAAGTGAGAGAAAAATATTATTTGAAAATACCAACATGGTTATCAACAATGGAAGCCTTAATACATCCAAATATTATTAATATGGGAAATATTTTTAGATATAAAGATATATTATCAGAAAAGGAGGAATTGAAAACGAAACAAGAAATAGAAGAACAAGGGATTAAAATGGACTGCTATACACAATTGCAAATACAAACAAGATATGAAAAAGATGCTAAACTATATGGTTTGTATTTGGAGATGATAGAACTGGATGAGATACTCACAGGAAAAGATGAGAGAATGATTAAAAAACTGTATAACTATTTACTTATATTAAGTTAGAAGAAGAACAGGTAAAAGAAACAATGATAGCCTGGGCTAAAAATTTTGGATATACAATTGAGTTAGATAAATGGCAGCAATTATGGGAAAGAAACTATAAATTAACAATGTCCACAGCATATAAGGAGAATCAGTATAAAATGTTTTATAGATGGCACATGGCACCAGAAAAATTGGCAAAAATGTTTAAAGATAAATGAGCTAAATGTTGGAATGCTATCGATAGATACCAGGACCATTTTATTATATGTGGTGGATGTGTCCGGAAGTGAGAAACTATTGGGTAAAAATTCAAACATGGTTAGAGGAAATGATACCACAACATATTGATTTAAAACCTGAACTGTTCCTATTGGGTATCTTACCGGAGAAATATAGTAAAGAAAATATATATCTGATTATACACGTAATAACTGAAGCGAGGATTGTATTTGCACAAAATTGGAAAGCAGAAAAATTCCCTATAGAGGGAGAAATAATTAAGAAAATATTGGAATGTGCAGAAATGAATAGATTAACATTGGCAATTAAAGGAAAGGAAGAATCGGAGCATTACAGGATATGGGGGCAATTCTATCAATGGATAGAGATGAGATATAATAAAAATTAATATAAATGCAAGAAATTAGGAAAAAATGTAATAAAGTAAAATGTAAAAGTAAGATAGAAATGTAGTAAGAAAATGATGGTAAAGGAGGAATATGATGACACAAAAATATGTACTCAGATGATGCTGAATAATTAATGATGTTTGTTTAAACATACATATATACATATACATATACATATATAGATACATATAGATACATATAGATACACACACACATATATATATATATAAGACTGATAGGAAATGTAGCCAGAACAAAGATATTTAAAAGATGCTAAATTATCTGCACAATGATCTTGAAATTGCAAAACCACAGATTATGTGATTTAAATCATTCTCTGCATTTTTGTAGTATTACTAATGCTGATGCCTTAACTAAACAAAAGATTTATTTATCAATATTTATTATTTATTTAATATATGTTTGAACATCCACAGAGTAATATATAAATGTTACAATTTTTCTTCTTAAATTCTGTTACTTTATCTTGATGTAGGAGGAAAGGCAAAGTCTATTCTAGTCTTACCCATATTGGGTTCATTGGTTCTGCTATGTAGATTTCAAGAACCTTCTCAAAGCACAGTGTATTCCTTTCTCATTTTATATGTATAAATGGACAACATTTTAAAAAAACATTCACCTATCACTATTTTAAAAATGTGAAAGTGAAGTTTTCTAACTTGCTTCCCTTTAAAAAGTGACTATCAAGCTACTTATAATTCTGAAATCTCTTCTTTGCCAAAGGTACAATTGTTAGAATTTATTGCTGGAACAGCAGATTTAACAACCGAGAACAATTCTTCTAATTCCGCAGTTTCCACACCAAAGAGAAAAATAAACCACGATAAGGAAGAGGTAAGACTTGTGTCTTCTATTTTATTTCCTAAGTGCTATAAAATTTCTTATGAAAGATAATTATATTATACTGGTCTATGACCATAATAAATATTTCATTTGCTAATTATTATGCTAGCTATTTTTCCCATTTTAATGGTTAGTGTCAAAGCCCTATTCTTTTGACTTGTTGAACTCACAAGTCTTGTTTGGGGTCCTGCTTTAAACTCTGTATTACATGGTTTTTAAAAGTCTGTTCAGAAATAAAATGGAGTGTTTTCAGAACATCTACTGGCATTTGAATCAGTAACAATTTAGCAATGAAATAGTATCCATTATCAATTGATCCATACAAATATTCTAAATGCCAGATTGATAAAGGTAAAAAAAAATTATACGAATAATATAAAATTGTGGTCAGTGCATGCTTATTCATGCTAATTCTTACCTAAAAACTTGGCTGTGAAACCTTGTGGGGGAATGGGAGACACAAGGCCCACACAACTGTGGGGCTGGCTGGCCCCATGAGACCCACCCTGCCTATATTATCAACTGCTAATCCCCCATTTTGGAATTCTTCTATAAAAATTTTATAATGTTTTATAATTTTAAAGTTTTTAACCTTAATCTTAAATTATTCTGATTTTAATGTTTAATTTTACTGATTATATTGTGCTCTGCCCAGAGAGCTTCTCCAAGGAAGATGGGCAGTTAACAAATTTGAAATATAAACAAATATATAAATACATTTTTTTTCAAAATAGTGTGAGTAATTTGAAAAATATATGGATCACATTTTACTTTATTAAGAAAGTTTCCTAATACATTGCTACATGATATTTTTTTTTGAAGCAATCTAGAAGAAAAACGATAGGATTGTGTTTTAATTATAGCTGCCATTGATGGTGAAGAAAACTTTGTTTGCATATTTAATTTTACTGGTTAATTCCAAAAACGATTTGGCTTTTGCTCACATTTTAAACATTCCTGATAGAGGACTTGGAAGAGAGGCTTTTACTGACCTAAAGCATGCTGCCCAGAAGAAACAAATGTCTATATTTCCGGTATGTATGAGAGGTTGCTTTGCTTTGGGATGACATTGAAGAGATGTAACAAAATAGTCTTAGATAGTTGATTCCTCCACTCAAAAGTTAACTTGGGATTCTTTTTCTACATTAAGCAAATGTACAGAGAGTATTATTTTAGGCAGATATAAAGATTAGTTTAGTAGACGATAGTATTATTCATAGTATTATTTCTATCAATATTTACATTGCCAACAAAATATTATTGATGATAGTATGAAGAAAATACTATTACTATAAATAATAGTAATACTTTACTTGAAATAAAAACGTATAACAAAAAATTAATTAACAAAATTATGTAATTATATATAATAACTATAATTTACTATGTAATTAATTCAATCCTTGAGCTTCTAATTAAATCCAATCCATTTAATAGCTTACTGGGTCATCTTATTTGTGGAACACAGAGTTTTTTAAAAAATAGATATGTTTATACTGTGCAAGTGTTCTGTCCCTTCAAATATGTGTTGATTGCTGGCAATGCCTGGACAAGTTCCTGCATTTTTCTTGGCATGAATTTTGGAAATGGTTGGCCATTGCCTGCTTCCTAGGAGAAAAAGTGAATGGCCCAGCTGGTTTGGTCCTAAGGCAGGACTACAAATCAGGGGTGAAATCTACTTACCTTCCTTACGGGAGCGGAAGTGCATGCGCAGACCCTCTGCACATGTGCAAAACCTTCTGCACATGCGCAGAAGGTAAAAAACACATTATTTCCTGGCTAAAACCAGGAAGTAACGACACCTGGATGGGTGGGCGGAGCCTCGCCCTGCCATCGCTACCGGTTCTCCGAACCACTTGCCACAATCGCTACCAGATCACCCGAACCAGGAGCATTCACCCCTGCTACAAATAATTCATTCCCCCATTTTTGGCCTGATGCCTTTAAACCACGACACCAAACAGCTCTCTCGATTTTCTTTAAAGTGACGTGAAATTACCGTGTTTGCTGCATTCAAGACTAAATGAACCAAAGCTATAAATGAGACATATTTTAGGGATATAATTCAATATTGCATTGAGATACCTAATTATAACATTTCTTTCTTAAATTATATTAACATATGTAGTGGTTTGAAGCTACTATATCTGTAACCAAATAGAAATAAAATAATCTGAGTTAAAGAATCTTCAAATTTCTTCTCTCGACAGTGTAAGAAATTTAATGTCTAATCCTTTTTAAATATTCCTTTGAGGTCTCCAATAAAAATGTAATAATGTTTTCCAATGAATTAATTTCATTTTTAAATGACAGGAACTATGCTATATATTTTAACATGTGGACCCATTATTCCTTCAAAGATGGATATTGCAATTCTTCATTTCACAATTCAAATATATAACTAATACTAACTTTCATTTTAGTAGCTTATAAAATTGTACTGCTGGTTTCCAATTTGGTGGCTGCATCTCTTGAAGAAGCTAAGATGCAGGCATCTTGGTGACTGCTAAACAACAAAGCCTTGTTCTTTAATTAATATGTGTTTTTGTTATTCATTTGGCCAAGTATATATTAGAGGTAAGTATTGACTTAAAGCATTGTTTCTCAAGAACTTTAAAGCAACCATTAGAAATCAGCTGATTTAAAATAGTAATTCCTTGCCCACCCCAGACATTCCAAAAGAAATCTTTCCTGCTATTTTTTGAATTTAATTGTACCCCAGCTTCAATTTCTCATGTGATTTCGGGATCAAAATATAACTATCAGTTAATAACCAAATATGCTTACAAGTTTTCAATATGAGCTGAAATGCCATGCTTTTCACCATTATTTTAAAATAATATAAGGTTACAGTCTAAAATAACATAATTAGTGGTTATTTTTGAGTTGTATATGATTGTGCTGTTTGGCTGTAATACAGAGCATCCTCTATTCAAGCCACATTTTGTAGAATGTTTTATTTTCCAACAGTAATTTCTATTGTACAGTAGGCCCTTTTTGAAATCTGGAGATTTCTGAACAATTTGATACAATGCGTATGGGCGCTGCTATTGAAAGAAGAAAAAAATTGGCTATGTGTGCTGGGATACACTAGAACTCTCTGGATTGTTTTAATTGTAAAAGAAACAAGGCTAAAAAGTACTCATTCCCAGAGCCTGATATTCAACAGTCTTGTGGGTAGTCCCAACTGGAGACTTATACATGCTGAGATTTGCCATGTGAAAGGAAATGTCTTCCATATGCACTGGTTTTTCCCAGCAGGTTACAGGGGGAAAAAAACGGGTCAGAAAATGCTGGTGTTCATATCATCCTGGTCTACTGCTTTTAATATAGTCTTAGAAACATTGATCTTTGCTCATTGTTGTCAGAGCCACAGGAAAATCCAGAAGCAAAACTAGAACATTGTACTGAAATCTTAAAGAACCTAAAAACAAAAGAGGGCATAAATTAGATATATTATGATTGCATACAGAATATAGAAAACATGATTTCAATTTCCAACATACAATGAACACATTTTTATTAAGTAAAAGTTTTTATGCCTTTTTGTAAAGAATTTCTTTAAAAAAAACTATTCTTTTTTCTTATCATTTTACACACTGCAACTAAATTATGTGTTTCTTGTTAGATGGCAACTTCATTTATACGTGCCATAGAACTTGGAGGAAAAGGATATGCTCCTTTACCTACTGATCCTTTAAGAACTCATGTGAAGGGGCTTTCTCAGTTTATTCACTTTACTGATAAATTAGAAGAAATTATTGGTGAAGATCTGGATCCAAGGTAATTCTTTTCTCATGCATAGACTTACCTATTATTTTTTTAAAAACTTAAAATGTATCTTTATTCATTAGCTTTTGAAAAACCAAGTAAATCTGATTCTTAATTACAATAGTTATCAAACTGGGTAAATCTCATAATATGTCCTTTTTAATGCAATTGAAATAATTCACCTGGAAAACAGCACTTTAATTATTACTTTTTTATTTCTATCAAGCTTTCATTGTTTCAGTCTCTTTCAACTATTTTTGTTTTTCTTTCCTATAATTTATTATTGTTCTTATTAAAATTGTCTGCGTAAGCAGAGAGTACAGTAGCTATTATTGCAACAGCTACAAACTTAATGTTATCCCTACATGTAGTTATTGATTTGACATACAGTAGTCTATCATCAGATGGTTTTATAGTTAATATTCCATGTTGGGATTAATAATTTATAGATTGGAATATTTGGAATGTTAAAAAATAAAGACTGATAAAGCACAGTTAAAAAGATAAAAGTGGTAATGTCGCAGTAGAAAGCCGATTAAGTGAAGTTCTGAAAAATTGCTGAACAAGAATTAATTCCTTGAGGGAAAAGTTTAGTAGAGTAAGTGGTAATATTGTTAGTAGAAAGAAGTTAGGCAAAATAGATGATCCTTGTGCAGGAAGTAAGAACAGATAAATGGAAAATTTAAAAAAAGGAGATTTTACGATTGGTTAAAAGTGATGCTTCTAATATTATAGATACAAGAGCCAATGTAAGAAAAAAGGTGGTAATAACTGGAAAAACTGTTACTGTAACCTAATCTTGTAGCATCTGCTCACTTCATACAGTAAGATCTAGTGAGGTGCAGTTACTCCAGAATATACATTAAAATTGTATGCTGATGATATCATACTCAAAATTACTCAGTCCAGAGGATCTTTAACATTGTTGGGAAGTTATACAGCATATGGCAAAATGGTTCACCCTTAGGTTGTGGAAAAACCCATGCCTTGGTATGGAATTTGACAGGATGAAAAGCAATGTTCCTATCAAAGAACGGGCTTTAACTTTCCTGCTAAAAAGATAAAATATTTTGGATTTTTTTTAAAAAAAAATGTATTTAAGATTAATTATTTACAAAGTTGGAAAAATATATCAACAGATATTTCTAGATGAGAAAAGTTAAATCTGTCATGGTTAAGAATAATCACAGCTGTCAAAATGAATTTCTCACCACGACTAAACTTCTCTTTTTCAAACGATTCCCATATTTATTGAAGATAAGCTATTACTTGGCCGAGACAAGCAGTAAATTACTCTTCCAGTCTTCAAGAGGCTGTTCGTATCATATGTATCTAGACCCACAAATTAGAAGTTATGCAAGACTAAGTAAACTACTGAATGCCTGGGATATACAGGAGAATAATAAATCTGGGCTTTTCCCCTCCTGCTGTGTTCTAAATGTTTGCTTTTATGAAGACAAAGCTTCTAATAAATTTACTCAGTGGAGAAATAGTTTGTATGAATTTCAAGATTTTATTAAGAATAGGACAAAGATAAAAGCTCTCAAGTCTCTTAGGATGCAGCATTCTGCCACATTTAATTGGTTTCAGTGCCTTCAAATAAGCAGTGTGACAGTAAAGAGAAAGCTTATTGAGAAGTTTGTCCAACTTTACAGCCTAATAACTCGTATTATTAACTTATGCTAAGCATTATAAGAGAGCCGTGGTAGTGCAGTGGTTAGAGTGCAGTACTGCAGGCTACTTCTGCTAACTGCTGGCTGCCAGCTGTTCGGCAGTTCAAATCTCACCAGGATCAAGGTTGACTCAGCCTTCCATCCTTCCGAGGTCGGTAAAATGAGGACCCAGCTTATTGAGGGCAATATGCTGACTGTAAAGCGCTTAGAGAGGGATGTAAAGCACTGTGAAGTGGTATATAAGTCTAAGTGCTATTGCTATTATGTATAAATTATTAGTCAGTTATACTTGATGTGACAGTACAAATTTTAATGGAAGAACAGTATAAAATTTACTTTGAACATAATAATCAGAAATGGTATTAGATGCTTGACTGTTAGTGTATCATTCTGATTTTGATTGCTAAAATGAGTATTTTCCTTAAAAAATTACTGGAAATTTAGCAAGCAGAGAGAATCCTTCTTTCATATGTTATGACAATACAGTAAAACCCTGAAACATTGGAAAATGATACACTCTAGAATGGAACAAATTTTGAAAACTGCAACCAGAGGTATCTTTATTAAATCCTACCGATTTAGACACCCCTTCAAAATGTACTGCACTGGCATTGTATTTGTTACTACCTGCAAGGACTCTATATGCCTTTTATTGGAAAAATACCTTTGATTCCATCTTTTGAAGAATGGTTAATTAAACTATGGGATTATATCTAAAATATCTAAAATCTAAGATATCTAAAATAACTATGCAAAATCAAATTTGGGTCAGTCACTGGGACCAGACATTTACTCTTCCAAGCTTTTGGACCCATGAAGAAGAAGAAGAGAAAGAGGAGGAGGAGGAGGAGGAGGAGGAGGAGGAGGAGGAGGAGGAGGAGGAGGAGGAGACAAGCGAGATGTCAGACGAAGAGACCCGAACTCATTGGTAGCGTCACATTGCTATGAACAAGGACACACATTTAATTTTGCAGCAACTAAGATCATTGGCCATGCAGGCATAAAGATAGCCAGGGAAATGATTGAAGCCTGGAAAATGGGCCTCTTGTCAGTTAACAGGAGTGCTGAATTGCCACCAGCATATCAAATACTTAGGAGCTGAGGATTTGGCAACACAAAGAAATAACAGCCAATCACCAGCCATCAACACACCAATCAGCCAATAGGAAGGCACCACAGAACAGTCCAAAGCACATATTCCAGTAGAGAAATTCCCTGAAGATGCACTCCAAAAAGCTTGGAAGAGTAAATCTCTGGTCCTAGTGACGGACCCAAATTCAATTTCGTATTGTTATCCCGGAACACGTATATTTGCCTTTTTTACTTATAAAATGTTTTTTAAAAAGTAAATTTGTCACAGAATTTAATGGAATTCTTTGGCATCTAAAATTTTGATTTCTAAAGCTCGTAATTTTATATTGTGTAATTTATAGTATTGCAACAGTGTATTATAGTATTTACTATTTACAGTTTTTTTGTAGTTTCAACAAAGTTAACTGTTTTTTAATTTAAAGTTCAAAAGAGATACGTGGGTTTAGAGTGAAAATGGACTATGCCTCATAATGTTATCATTTGAACAACATTTGAGTAGTCATATATATAGCCCTCTTGAATTATAGAAAGGACAAAGTGAGGTAAGAGGAATAGCAAAGCTACTTCTTCCCCATTCAGCAACAGTAATCATAGTGTAGTACAGAAGCAACTGTTTCCCTTGCTATCCACTTAGTGAGTGATTACTACTTGGCAGGAAAAAGGTTGTGGGGATCTTCATAAGTCAGAAGCCTACAAATAGGCAAGCCAGACACCTGCAGTTTATAGGATTGTAGTTTACTGGGTTTTTTTAAAAAAAATCATTTTTGAACTATCTTGTAAGATTGTTCATATTTCCAGATGGAAAAAAATCTTTTGCCAGGAACTTTTGGTGCAGGTAGAACTTGAATCCAGGTTGAATTTGAATCCAAATTGTGTCTACTGAATTATCCTTTAATTTCTTTCAAGGAAATAAAGCAACGATAGATTGTAATTCTAAAAACATTCTTTTCATGGATGCACAGTTCTTTTGTGGAGGCTTGGGGTCATGTAGGAGTCACACAGAATATACCTGACATGTGAATCAGAAGAACAAGAGGAACAGGGAGAGATGGTTCAAGGAAAAAGTAGGCCAAAAAAACACAGTATAACCCTTACTTACTTTTTTGTATTGCTTGAAAACAGCCTTTCACACCTTTTCTGCTCTTTCCATTATTTCTCAAAGTTTTGCAGCAGTTAAGAAGAGGGATTGGTACCCACAAAAAGTGGCTGGAAAGAAGGGTACATGTTCAGAGCCCTGGATTTTTTTCTTACTTGTCTCAAATAAAAATCTAACAGTACCACATTACATGCTTTTAATTGCAATACAACTACCATATTTGTGAGACCGCCTTCTGCCGCCGATAGCCTCCCACCGACCAGTACGCTCCCACAGAGAGGGACTCCTCAGGGTGCCGTCAGCAAGGCAATGTCGGCTGGCGACCCCCAGGGGGAGGGCCTTCTCTGTGGCAGAACCTGCCCTCTGGAACGATTTGCCCCCGGAGATACGAAGGATACCAGTTCTCCGGGCCTTTCGCTGTGCCCTAAAAACTTTTCTTTTCCATCAAGCAGGGCTGGCGTGAACCCCCCCCCTCTTTTTAGCTCTTTTTAGCTTTTTAAGTGTAAATTGGGTTTTAATTGGATTGTTTTAAATTGTGGGCCAAGGCTGTATAATTCTTTTAATTGATTTTAAATTTTGTATTGGTATGTTTTTTATCCTTGGTTGTGCACCGCCCTGAGTCCAATAGGAGAAGGGTGGTATATAACTTGAATAAATAATAATAATAATAATAAAATATTCAAATTGAAATATGAATGAAGTATTTGTTTGTATTGTCTTTGGACAGTTTTCCTGAATGAGATGACTTAGTAGTCATAAGACCATATGGCCACTTGAGTTGTACAAATAAAGTGAGATCAAGTGAGGTACTAATACCACGCCTTAGTAAGACCACACCTAGAGTACTGCATCCAGTTTTGGTCACCACATTATCAAAAAGATGTTGAGACTCTAGAAAAAGTGCAGAGAAGAGCAACCAGGATGATTAGGGGACTGGAGACTAAAACATATGAAGAACAGTTACAGGAACTGGGCATGGCTAGTCTAGTGAAGAGAAGGACCAGGGGAGACATGATAGCAGTCTTCCAATATTTGAGAGGCTGCCACAGAGAGGGAGAGGTCAAACTATTTTCTAAAGCACCTGTAGGCCAAACAAGGAATAATGGATGGAAACTGAACAAGGAGAGATTTAACCTGGAAATAAGGAGAATTTTTCTAACAGTGAGAACAATCAACCAGTGGAACAGCTTGCCTTTGGAGGTTGTGGGAGCTTCATCACTTGAGACTTTCAAGAAGAGATTGGACTGCCATTTGTCAGAAATGGTGTAGGGTCTCCTGCTTGGGCGGGGGATTGGACTAGATGACCTACAAGATCCCTTCCAACTCTGTTAATCTGTAATCTGTAAAGGGATATAAATCTACATAATATTTAAAAGGCAATTGAATTCATTAAGGATCTATGAAATTTTCCTGGGGAAAGTGTTCATGCTAAAGAAAATCTGACATATGAAAATTTATTACTTTTCACTCAAATACATAAATAAAATGTGTATGTTAGAGGCAAATAAGTATTTGTATTCTTCAAAGATTGGTTTATTTTGGTGATACCTGTGTCTTCTACAAGGCCATTATAGATTTTCTCAGGAATCCCTGTTTGTTTTAACTTTTGACTACCATGTTTCCCCGAAAATACGACATGTCCTGAAAATAAGCCCAAGCCTGATTTTTGGAGTGGGCGTAAATATACGTCCTCCTCCAAAAATAAGCCCTAGTGAAGGGTTGGACATGGGCAGCACAGAAGGCAGCCCTTCCCTTCCCCGGTCAGCTAATGGCAGCTGGGCTCCTTAATGGCAACCTGTGGATCAGCTGAGCTGATTGGGAGCTGCCCCAGCGTTCTTGGCGCTCATCCACCTCCCGTCCCCCTTACCTGAAAACTCCCACTCTGCTCACAAGAAAGCAGCCACCTGGCACCTCTTGCCACTTGTTGCCCACCCAGCGGATACCCCCCCTCCGGCCAGGCAGAGTGCCACTCACCGACCGAGTGGTATCCCAGGATCATGTGGGTGAATCTGGTGAGCACCAGGTCCTTGAGTCCGCGCCGCCGCCATCCCAGCACTGAGGCTGGCTTCCTCTGCAGCTTCCAAACCCCGGCTGGAAGTGGAGAAGAGGCTGGTCGGGCCAGCCGCCTGTTGCCGAGTCTTCCAGGAGCCAGGGCAACGGCATAGACCTGGAACCATAGAGCGGACCAGGTCCATGCAGCTGCCCCGGCTCCCGAAGACTCGGCAGCATGCGACTGTCCCGACCGGGCTCTTCTCCGCTTCCAGAGGCTTCGGGGAATCACGGTACAATAAACATACAATTGTCAATTTTAATTCAATGAAGAAAAAAGAACATTGTATAGACTTGGTACAAGCAAGGGCAAAAAAGTAAAAATGACTCCAAACATTAAACTGTTTTGTTTGTTTAAGGAATTTTGTCACACCTCTATTAAATAATGTATTCCTAGTACAAGCTTTAAAACAGCTGATCTCTGAAAGTTGTCCTATGATGAGGATGAAGGAGCTTTAGTTTTTTTTTTTTTGCATCCAGCAATTGAAAAACTGATCTGACTTTCAGAGGTGCTGCTTTCCCAGGAAGGAATAAGTCTTTTTTTAAACTTCCTTCCCTCCTTTTCCCCTCTCTTTTGAATTGAGTGGTGAAATGCCACACTTAGTTATTTCCTGCTTTGATGGATAATAGCTACACAGGCTGGAACTCTGAACAACTGGATTGAATTGCTCCTATATATCATTCCCATCCAAGGTTGGATCAGAAACATAAATACCATTTTGGAGCATTTTCCTCTGATATTTGCGTTTTAAAATGGTACAGATGAGAGGAAGAACTGAAAAAAATACCAAATGTTAACTCCTTGGAATCTTTTTTTTTTTTTCCAGATTAAATCATTCATGTAATGTACAGGCAGCACATTTAATACACTGGGTAAAGTATTTCAACACTTAATAAAAGCAGTCTCCAGCCACGGTATAATGCATACTTACTTGGGAGCAAATCCTGTTGAGCTTGGTAGGATTTAACAATCATAGGTAGTTCTGTATTAGAAGGATTGCCTGTTAACAGCATACCTTGATGCAAAATGAAGTAAGACATGGCATGATGTCCTAAACTAATCCCTCACATAGTAGATCAGCACTTTATTTTGGCTTCTTCATATAAAAAATGAATGAAGTTTTCCTTTCTTTGGTCCAGCTAAAGTTATGTATATCTGATGGGGAATGGGAACTTTTTTCTTGGAAATGAAAACTGTGGGAAGAAAGATTAAATAAGAATTGAGACATTAACTGCTCACAGCAGGCATATTCGTTCAAGGCAAGGATGTCAAATCTTGGCTTTACTGGATTATGTGGTGCAAAAACATAGTTAATTGTTAAAGCGTACTCAGTAAAAGACTTCTACTTTGACTGTTAGGGTTCCTCATCCTTTTTGGGCTTGGTTGTCATAATTTGGAATCTGGAGAACACATAGTAGGTGACCTTGCAAAATGTCAGTTGGTCGGCTTTTCCATATACAAAACAACAACCCTAAAGAACACAATGACTTAACAAAGGACAGATGAACCAGCATGCTGTCTAGATCTATTCCTGCTGGATGGTTCCTACCCAGGTGTCAGTTCCTTTTGCAGAATTAGAATTTAGCTCCCTATTTTTAAAATAGGAATATTTTAAAATAAAAAGTCAGATGGGTCAAATAGCTGGCAGATGCCAAGAGTGATGTCCATATGCTTACTGATGTTGCTGGTACTGGGTGTACATAAAAGGCAGATTTTTTTAAAATCTAAAATTTTTATAACCATCTTATTTTTTGGAATATCAAATATAAGAATTGGAAGGCAAATTTGGATATCCAACCTCTTTTCCAATGTAGGAATCCACTACTACAGCATCTCCATGGTTTTAGCTAGACATCCTCTATTAAAACACTCTAAAATACTCTCTTGAAATCTCTTTCCAATTCCTCTGCTCTGTAAGGGAGCAGGTGGAGAGGAAAAAAAAGCAAGAGATTTTTGTAGTCAATCTCTCATTTGCCTAGCCCTTTTTCACCTCTGGTACAATCACATTGCTCTCTATGTTAGAAGAACAAACAGCTCACTCTTTTGAAACCCTTTTCTCTCCAATATCTGCTCTGTAATGAGGGGGGAAAAACACCATATGTCAGACACTGAAAGGTGAGTACTGATTGTACTGACGATTATGTGACTGATGGATGCTGTGAAGGCCATAAATAGGTTTAAATATGCTGTAGATTTTTTTTTCAGAACTATCATAAATTTGAATGGTGCTGACAAATAGTCAAAAATACCTGTGTACTTTTGTTGATGCAGTCTACAAATGGGTTGGTTGGTTAGCTGGTTTCAGCTACATCACATTGTGATATATTCACTTGTGGTTATGATTCACCAGATACTCAGATCTTTTGGGCACATATTGCTGTCCAATATGGTCCCTCTTATCTATACTCTTACTTATGCTGTAAACTACCCATAGTCATTGGATATGAGATGGGCAACAAATAAACTTCATAAATAAAATACTCATGTTATTGAATTTTTTCTACCATATTGTAGGACTTTGCATTTGTCATTCTTGAAATTTATTTTGCTAATTGTTGCCCATTTTACTAGCTTTTAGGTCCTCCTGATTCTTGTTATAGTCTCTGTGGAGTTTGCTATCCCCCATGTTTGGGACATCTGCAAATTTGATAATCATATTTTCTGTGATTGCCAAGAGAAGTATTTAGTTTAGCTTTTGACTTACCTAGAGAAGTATACCCATGATAAAGTGATAAGCAGCCATTCGAAATTACTGATGCCCCTCTTGAAAAAGTTGGTAATGAATTTGTTCTGGGGAGGAAATTCCGTTTTCATCATCAGTTTGTTGAACTAGACTTTATTCTTTATTCCTAAGGACTTCATAGTCATACTTATAAAACTGTATAAAATTTATGGAGAGACCAAGTACACTACCTTATCCTCTTTACACAATAAACAGTGAAACGAGAATGAGGTCATAGAGATCTTGGAACAGTGGGCACAGATTTGGTACAGTTCAAGAAAGTCTGAAAACCAGGTCTGTAACAAGTCTCACTTGAAACAGGCAAGATAAATATTATAAGATGCTTCCACGTATCCTGAGAAAAATCTATAGTTAGTTATCTCCAAAGAACTACCATAGGATTCAGAAAATGGGGCAATTTTATATCTTATGTTCAATTTTTTTCACCATATAAAAAGGCACAAATGGGATAAAATACTAACATTTTGGAAAGCTTCTCCCTTTATACTTATTTGAATCAGACTTAGACTAATGGAAGGAAGTCTTCCAGTATGTGGAAATAAGCTTTCAGACTACATATCTAGTTTCTAATATGTTAGCCAAAAGCCTGTCACCTTTAACAAATGGGAGAGGAGTTGGCTTTTTTTTTTCATTCAGTATATGTACTATCTAATTTCAAAGAAATATATTGAAAGGAGATGAAATCTCTTCGCCTTTAATTACTCCAACTTAAAGTCAAATATGCTATTTATGTAACTTCAACTGGATTTCTGTTTTCTGATAGTATGCACTAGAATGTTGGAAACTTACGTATCTCTAGGAGGGTGCATTTGATGTTATGAAAGTAATTAGTTTGAAAACTTTTGTCTTTCCAGGTGCTTGAAATTCTGCCTAAAATGCTGTTTATCAGTCTTTATGAAAACACTATTCATAAGTTAATATGCTCCTAAGTAGATGGGAAACAAATAGGTATGTAGCAAGGCAGAGGATTTCAAAATCTTAGTGGTTAAGGAGGATTTGGATAATGTGAGCTAATCTATGATAATGTAATTAAAACCTCTAACAGGCTATTTTCCTTGCTACTTAAACAATGCGTCAACAAGGTATGAGTCTATTGTCCTTACTTCTTCCTTCTGTAATCTCCCAATTCATAATACCAAATTATTTCATTAAAAGGCAAGATCTCACTGCAAGATGCTGTGCAATTTAACAGATCAAAGCTGTTTGCTGAGCAATTTTGATTAACTGTGAATATTCTCTGTTTTCAAATTACTAAATATCTTAAGATAGTGCCAAAATGAATATGGAAATGACCTCTAGGTCTGTTTTTCAGCCATGCAGGGGGCCGAATCCTATCAACAATCAAGATGCAGTTGATAAAAGGCCTAAACAGCGGGGATCCTTTCTGTCAAGCAGCAGAGGAAGTTGTACAAGATTTGGATTTGAGGATTAAAAGTATTATCAGTTTTCAGCATGAGGCTGTGGCAGCCAGCGCTACTGGAATCAGTCCAGCCCGAGTAAGGGGCCTCCTTTTGTTCTTCTAAACTGCTTGATATAACAGAGATTTTTTTTCTAAATGCCCTGATTATTTCTTGTACATTAGTTGAAGGAAATAGTTGCTTTGAACGACCTTGGAAATGGTAATATGTTTTAAAAACGTTCTTATTTTAAATGGGCAAATATTTTCTACAAGAAGAAAAAGCTTTCTCCTCTAATATAGTGCTGATAATTAGTTTAATCTTTAGGAAGTTCTTTTGCTCCCCACCCTCCCTTCCAAGTATATTTTGGCAGTGGTTATTTTTATTTTGACTTCCCTATCTTGTGTTAAGTGATTTATCTGCTGATTTCTTCTTGACAGGCTTGGCTAACTTCCTAGGGAAAATGTTATTGCCTTGCTTGAATCTCATGTCAGTTTTTTGCCTCTTTGCTTGTACAAACACCAGCCTGTGCACCTTACTGTTTCTTGTACCCTGTTTGTATGCACCTTGCTTTGAGTATACAGAGCCAGTTGATTAATGGAGATTTCTATCATGAGGAAGTTTTATTTGATGAATCCGCATTAGATAGTTTTCTACAGAAATGTGCCTACTATTAAAAAAAACAACCCAAAATAGATATGAATAATATTTCGGATATTTCAATTCAGGGTTTAAGATAAAAATTATATCGTGTGACTGTGATTACAAAGCTTGGATTGGAAGTAATTAATATGAATTCTGTGATCAAACTCCTTCAGTGTGGTCTAATGTAGCTAATAAACTTATCATATAGTACAGCTAATAAAGTTATTTTAATTTTTAGCCAAAACAACATTGTATAAACCATGACACTGTTTACTGTGGCAGAGATACTGTGAAGTCCTTATTGGCTGTTTTAGATGAAGCAGCTAGTCATCCTCCTTTCAGCAACAAAGCTCTCTTGTTATTTGGATGTGAAGAATTTGGATTTCCTTCTACCATGTTATTGTTCAAGTAAGTTGTCAAGTGATGTGGAGGCAGAGTCAATCTTTGTTTTGTGAAGAAAACTATTTTCTTTTGCAGAAAATATCTGGGAAACTATATATATATATATATATATATATATATATATGTATATATATGTATATATATATATATATATATATATATATAAAAAAATGCTAATGCTAAAACCAAAAGTAACTCCACTTTTTCAATGTCTCTTTCTACCATTTATTTTATTTTTTCCAACCCTTTAAAATATTAGAAGAAGTTATGTAGAATGTGTGATGCTACACGTTCTGTCTGTCCGTCAGCGGGATAACTCTCCAAAAATTGACCCCCAAAATTTGGTGTCTGAGGAAAAGCCAGCAAAAGAAATATTGAGCTTCAAAAAGGACCAGATCTATTTATTTATTTATTTATTTTATTTATTGGTTCGATTTATATGCCGCCCTTTTCCGGAGACTCAGGGCGGCTTACGATGCGTTAAGCAATAGCCTTCATACTTTTGTATATACCTGCTTAGTAGGGCTTTTGGGCCCCCCTAAGCGGTGTTCTATTGAAAAAAGTTTCCTGAAAATAATCCCCAACTCATCTCTATGAAAGAGACAACCGACAAGGGGCTTGGAATGTTGGTAATTGCTTCATTCTAAACCCCTCCCCATTTTTCCCAGTCACATGACCTTGAGCGGAGTACAGGTAGTCCTCAATTTACAATCATAATTCAACCTGCAATTGCGGTTGTAAGTCATGATGGTCATTAAGCAGGTCATCACGTGACTACACCTGATTTTACAACCCTTTTTATAGCGATTGTTAACTGAACATGACAGTCAAAGTGAATGCTGTCATTGTTGAGCAAACTCATTGGGGCATTTTTGCTGGAAAACTGTAAAACGCAGTTATGTTTCTGCAAATGGTGATAAAAGTGGACTAGTTGCCAATCATCCAAAATGTGATCATATGACTGGGAGAGGAGGATCGTCAGAAATTCATAACTGGATTGTTAGTATCTTTTTCAAGTCTGTTGTAACTTCAAATAGTTGCTAAACTACGAGACTTAAGTCAAGAACTATCTGTATATGCTGCCCACTTTGTGTTTCCTAGTGTGGACAAAACCCAGACACAAGACAGTTGGAGAGCAGAAACATACACAAACAGATGCAACATATTACTGAAAATATAGATGTCTTCTGTGACTATTGTTGATAAAGCAGTTGGTTAAAAAAAATCCCAGAAGCTATGTTCTGGCTCCTTACCTTGTTTATTCTATCCAGCCTAGTGGAATGTTTGAAAGAATTATATAAGAAGGTTTGGATTTATGTCTAATACGATAACTTCCTGAAAACTGAACCATATGGGCTCAAATTTGGAGGTAATGATATGAAAATTTTGAACATTTCTCCACTGCACTTCCCCAGAGAGTGAGAAGGAAATTGGGATCCTTTTGGAATGTTGCCATTTCAATTCCAACCTCTCCCCTCTTTTTTCCCTCTCAGTCAATGACCAGAGCAGGCAGCTATTAAGAAGTTGGAAAGAGTTGCACAAGCCTTGCTCAGCAGGCTTTCATTCTCTTTTTGATCACACCATTCCTCCCTCCCCCCCCCTTTTTTTTTTTGCTTTGCTTAATAGCTGCCAAAAATTGGGGAAAGATTGCATTTGTCAGAATTAATAGTTTGCAGAGAGCTAGAAGAGAGTACATGGAGAGCTAAGGTCACACATGAATCCAGAGGTCTGTAACTTTTAGAATGGTAGGTTATTCTACATCGGAAACATCAGCTTTTTGGAATGCTATCTGTCAAAATCCTGTTCTCAGTCAGTATTCTGTTGTGGCTGTTACAAAGGAAAATTGGATGAGATATGGTACTTAGGACCTCAGGATATGACCAGAATGTTAAAAATAATTACCAAGCAAAATTAGTCTTATATTACTAAGAACCGAATAGATAATTCTAGCTGCAAAGTTATAATGCTCTTGATTCTTCCTTTCTGAATATAGAACTTAGGTGTGACCATAAGACACAAATTCAGTAGCAGAAAAGAGAAGAAATATTTGAATTGTGAACAGCATTAAAAGTGAAATAAAGGAAGAATAACCAGATTTCTAATTTTTAGTTGACCCAATCAAGCTGTCACAAGTAGATATAGCAGTTCCTATACATATATGGAGGTTAAGCATTACAGAATCTTTCATTTTATAGTGGGACCCCTTATCTAAATAAATTGGCTTTCTTAAAAATGGATTAAACACCAGACAGACAAAAGGTTCTGAATTCTTTGGTTGGTTGGCTGGTTTTGCTTTATAAGGATTGTGGTCATGTACAGTATTAACAAGTATTCCAAATCTATACATGCATATCATATTTCATGCTTACCACAGTTGCTTGTATTTTGTTTGCACATTAATACAGATCTCCAACACAGTCCAGTGGATCTTCTCCCAAAGCTCTGAGACAGCGGATTCAAATGGCTGCATGTGAAAAAATTAAGGTAGATGAACATGAACCTCTCTTGCCTGCCCCTCCCTCCAAGATGAAGCATTTATTTAAATCTAAACTTTGTTGCTTATGCATTCTGGCATACTACATGTAATGGTACGTGGGATTGATCTTCAGATCTAGGGAGAAGAGACACAGCCAAGGGAATGGGCAGATAAAATTGAGCCATGGTGGCGCAGTGGTTAGAGTGCACTACTGCAGGCTACTTCTGGTGACTGCCAGCTGCCTGAAATTTGGCAGTTTAAATCTCACCAGGCTCAAGGTTGACTCAGCCTTCCATCCTTCCAAGGTGGGTAAAATGAGGGCCCAGATTGTTGGCAGGAATGCAGCTCAGAAGGGACTCTCCCTAGTTTCTTGGGTGTAAAAGGGAACTGGGAGGGGGGTGGAGAAAATGTATTTATAGATTTGCAAGATTTCCCATTAACATAATCTTACCATAAAGTAGAATTAGTTCATCTGGCCATGTATCCTGTTTGATCCAAGTTGATGCTATTGTTCTATTTTCTGGGTTTGTTTGTTTTTAAAAGGTAGGAATACATCATCTCTACCTTAGGTGAAAATGAGCCTATTGTCCAGGAGGGCCATTAATGATGCTAAAGCATAATTACTATTAATGTTCTACTTGAACTAGAAGGCTTGCAGCCAGAGATTTAAACATAAAGATACTTATTTTTCTGTAGATTCTAGAAAAGCCTTTACTAAGAAAGAAAAACAGCACTTCATGACTTACATATTGCCAGCCCCAAGATAAAATCCTACATCTTTTTTCTCCTGCCTTTACATTGCAATGGCTTGAGAGCCTTTTGTTTCTCAGCAGGAGTGATTGGTACCTGTGAATTTTATTCTAACAGACCTGTCTGGTGTCAGTCCCTTTGCCCCCTAAGCTTGCGAGCATTTGCCCTTACATCTCTTCACCACCTCAAGTAATGCAAGGGGGTGTTATGAAAACAAAGCCAGAAAATTGGGCGGGGGGAGCTTGCTTCTGTGTGCCAAGAAGCTTTTCTCTTACTGCTTCCCCCTTGTTTTTAGCTTCAAAATAAACATCAACTGGAAAACTTCCTTTCCCATATTGTTACAACAGTGGGTTCTGTAAGATTACATTTTAGAAATGCTCCAATTCCATTTTTGCTAACTTCTGTAATATAACCTCTTGGTGAACATTAGTTACTTCAACTACTGGTGCCTAAGAGGCTACACCCATTGTTCATCTATTTATTGCAACAGTAACAAAAAATACAATATAAATAAATTTGCAATATTTTTACATATATTTAAATCTGTTTAATCCCCCTGCCTGTTAAATTAAGTCAAGAATGGCTCAGCAAAGAACCAGTTGAAGATGGTTCACCTTGCATGAATATGTCCCTTCTGTCTCTAGACCCTCCCTTTCTTTTTGGCACTACCTGCTTTTTTCTGAAAGAGACCTTTGTCTACGAAAAGTCATAGACATGTTCATGCATCACACCAAGATTTGTTTGTTATGTGAATACAGTCATTGTGCTTTATAAATGTTGTGCCAAGTGTGGCCCATTCAGTAAATCTTGACTAAAGAAGCCTTGACTTCGTGCAATACATGAATATAGTTATATCTGGCATATGTTTGTTTGTATCACATGTATGTTTTCATACAGTGGAAAAAAGATTCTTTTTAATGAATTTATGAGAGTCCTTTCAAAAAATCAAACAAGGCTGCAGCTTTCTAAGATACATTTAATGTGGCTATTTTTTCATGTGAAATACAAGCAATTATATAGTAATTTTAGGCATACAATTAGTTATTCCAGCAAGTGAACTAAAAAAGGTGGGTGGGGAAATGCCAGGGTTTCGCTATTGCTATCACAGTGGGTTACAAATCTTGTCTCCATCACTTATACATTATAATTCATATTGATCTACTTCCTTTTCAGTTGAAGCAACCTTTAATTAGATCTCAGTTTGCTTGCACTTACAAAGATGACCAAATAATCAAACCAAAGAATCAACCCTTCAGTTTATCTCCGGTCCTAACAAATGTATATCCAGCACTCCAAAAAACAGCAGATTCTCCTACTGAAGACAGATCAACTTCAGGTAAATTCAGTCAGCAATATCTCTCTACTTCTCTGCCCCCTCACTTATTGACCAGGTTGAATGTATATGCTATCAGTTAATTGAACGGCCCTCAAATAAATAAAATAATTGCTATACAAATGTAGAAGTGATTTGCTTGACATATCTTGGCACCTGCAATGGCTAGTTAGATGCCAAAGGAAGCCCAAAGCAAGGTATGATGGAAACAACCTTTCCCTGCCAAGTGTTTCTCTACAGCTGATGTTCAATGTTATGTTGTCTCTGAATCTATTAGCTCTTTGTAGTCAGAATACACTTATCTAGTTATTTTATTTATTTTATTTCATTTATTTAAAAAGTCCTGCTTTCCCAAAACTGTAAGCAGTCTTTCCTTCTGTTATCTTAACTTAATGTCAAACATGTAAAAATCAGGAAATCCAGGCAGTTCAAATGAGTTTAAAGATTTATTGCAAGCTTATGATCTCTACAAGAACCTGAACTACTAATGTCAAAGCAAAGAGGCTGTAGATAAGAGTTAATGGAATTCAAAGCGGGCTGGTCTCTTGTGGGAAGGGACTTGAGACTGAGGATATGTTTGACTCCTCTCTCGGGCTCAGCCTGGTCATTTCCCATACTTTCTTTACAATGGTAATATTGTCTTGAAATCACCCATAGTTCTAAAATTTAGATTTTTACTACCATTTTGCAACACAAAATATGCCATCTTTGTGAAAAAGTTTTTTTGCTTGTCAGAGCAGTTTGAGGTTTTTGGTTTGTTACATTCTACCTACTGGATATACCACCGAGACTTTGCTGCTACTTCTAGAGAGTTCTGGGGACACTGGCATTTTCTTTGACCTTCAACAATTGTAGGGCAGAAAAGGATTTACTCTCCAGGAGTGACAAGGACATAGTTGGTGAGATCACCAAAGGGCAAAACCACAAAGCTGAGGACATTCCAGGCAGATCATTTTGTTTTAATTGCTGCTGAAGTGTTACTTGCTCGTTCGTTGGTTGTCGTTCCAGAGCTAATTATTGGCAGTAGATGATAGCACAATGTGGCCTTGGCAAGAGTAGAAAGAGAGAATGAGAGGTAATGTAGGATAGGTGGAAGTATGTCATTGCTGGAGAGACTATGGTCAATTAAGAAGAACTTTGGTTAGGTGCTTCTAAGTTATTTTGTGTTTTGGTTCCTCTTCATTTTTCAAGACTAAAGCCATTTGACCAATCTGCCTTCTAGTCTTGTAGTGGTGCATTTCAATATTAAGTTGGGCCATAATAAGTCTTCATGCACAATGAGAAAGCCAGTGGGGTTATTATAACTTCTTACATAGATGGACCAGGTGAACTTGATCTGATTACATTCTGTATCAACCTAGATTGGAGGGCTGGATATGTTTTGGTCATTATGTTAACTCATAATCTAATATCAGTTTTGAGTTCATGTAACTGATGTAGGAGCAAAGAGATAGGACATAGTATTTCTAGTGAATCATTCTTCATGATCTAGGTCATCAAGGTAGAGTTGAGGAACTCCAGGGTGGTGGAGTTAAGACTTGAAAATAACATTGCTTGTTGTTGTATTTAGGGCATTTTCTGTGTTTGCTTTTAGAGGTAAATGACTGAAACCTCATTGAAAGTGCTGCAAAAAATATCTGGGATGTGAACTTAGTGAACATCGATACACTGTAGCAGTTCTCATGATCATAAAAGCTTGTGCAGTTATCGGTTCATTTATCTTGAACATTTCCAAGACTCTTTGCTGTTGTTTTCTCCTGAATATCTGCTGCCACCTGCGTCATTATGAGATTGACTTTTTGTATTTGTCCAGCAAAGTGGCTGATAAAGTACATTTGGGAGTCCTCAACAGTAAAACGTAATATCTTTCAGTGATTGAACACTGCATCAAAATCCTATTCATATTTTCTAATAATTTGCACATGCTTTTAAAATCAATGGTTTCTTTTACTCTTGTTTCTATCCGTGTTTATTTTCTGAAGTGGTTACTGAAGTATTTTTTATGTCAAGGGTGATGACTCAGATTGTATAATGTTGTTTTCAACTAATTATCTCTATTAATTAGACTTAGTTAACTCAATTTACAAGAACTGTTTCTTTTGAAAATTACCAGCGGTGGCTAGTGTACAGCAAAAGCAAAATTTAAAAATAGTGTATTCTTTTTCCCTTATGAAATGTTTTGTTTTCTTAACCATCAGAAAACCTGACTTCATCATTTGAAAATACTACACTCGGAACTGGTTCTGGAAGTGTTTGTCAGAATGGAAGAACAAGAAAAGAAATAGGAAAATTAAATTGCCAGCCAGAGAAGAAGAACCCAAAGAGGAAGCTGGTGGACAGAACTAATGAAAATGTCATAGTCATTAATGAAAATGAAACCCCACAGCATATATACCATAAGAAACCAAAGACTGCAGTGAAATGCCAAAATAGTTTGGACAGCAAACTAAAAGAAACCAGAAAATCCAAAAAGTCTATACCTAAAAATAAGCTTATTACTGGGCAAGCGAAACTGACTCAGTTCTTTAGGTTGTAAATGTTAGTGATTTGAAAAGGCAAAAAATTGATTATATTAAGATTACCATTGTAATCATGATTATGCAAAAGTTTTATATATACAATACTTGCAAAAGTAAATCAAGTTTTATGCAGAATTCTCAGTTTAATAATGCACTGTAACTTTACACTTGTTTCAACATGTGGCATTCTGACATAGAAATATTTAGAGTTTTTACAAACACATAGCAATATATTAACCACAATTACAATTTTAGTGACTTATCAAGGAAAGGGTTTGTCTCTTCCAAGTGATGCACTTCAGGGTCGTTTTAGGCTTGCCAACAAGGTCGATACACTCTTCCCAGCATACATCTGAGCACTAAAGAAAACACACCAAAAATTTGTGGTTTTGACTGTCAAATACGTATTTTTATAAACAAGTTTAACTACATGGTCTTCTGTAGCGGCATGTTGTAAATTTTAACTCATTTGAAATTTTAACTCATTTTTTCTAATAAATATTTAGAACACATGTTATCTTTTATATCTTACATTTAACCAGTCACTCTTTAAAAGACTGAGTGAAACCTACAATTTTTAAAGACTGAGAAAAACAAATAAACCTTTCTTTTTTCAGAGAAGCATATTCTGATGATTGAGTGCTACATTTGTCCTTTGATAATAAAAAGGTAGCAGCAGCTCAGTATAGTTTTACCTGTGTACATACATAGAGATGCAATTGAATATATATGCGTGAGGCAGGCTTGAGCTAAAAAATTGGCTGGTTTCTAAGGCACTCCAAGTCTTCAGGAGTTTGGTAGAGAAACTTGACTACCTTTTGTGTGAATGCCTTGAAAAAGATGATGAAAAAAGGCAGCTCACGGGAGAGGGGGGAGAAGTGATTGGGTCCCTCCTGCTAAGCCAAGTTAGGAAAACTCTTACATTTAGGCATCTGGACAATAGAACTACCTTGGAGGCATCAGTTTGCCAATTCTGTTTCTCTCTGGCTGGATGCTCCTTGCAACTTTCACAACTGGCCCAGCAGCATGAGGATTGCTGACAAATTAAAGTGGGCTTCAACTGTTATTGTAGCTTATGGACAATTGCTCAAAAGGAAATGGTGGGCAACATGTGCCACAAAAGTTAAGCAGGTGGAAAGCAAAACTGGAGGGGTAGCTATGTGGCTCTTCTTGGGCCTCCACTGCAATGTGCAAGTGAAAGTTGGGAGTACAGATAGTCCTCGACTTATGACCACAATTGAGCCCAAAATTTCTGTTGTTAAGGGAGACATTTGGTAAGTGAGTTTTGTCCCATTTTACGACTTTTCTTGCTACGAATTAACTGCAGTGAATTCCTGCAGTTGATAAGTTAACCCGATTGTTAAGTGAATCTGGCTTCCCCACTGACTCTGCTTGTCAGAAGGTCTGAAAAGGTGATCACGTGACTTTGGAACACAGCAATGGCCATAAATATGAACCAGTTGCCCAGCATCTGAATTTTGATCACACAATCATAGGGATGCTGCAAAGGTCGTAACTCTGAAAAATGGTCATAAGTAACATTTTTAGTGCCGTTGTAACTTTGAAAGGTCACTAAATGAATTGTTGTAAGTCAAGAACTACTTGCACTGCCGATCAGCTAGTCACATACATCAGGAAGTATAACCAGCTGAGAAATTTGAGAATTTGCCTGGAGCTCTACCTAGATTGTGTCTGCTTATCACTAGTGGCCATAGTTATTCATTTCAACAGTTATCACGGTACTATTTCAGCAAATTAAGGTCATATTACTGTTTTGCAGTAACATCAAAATATAACTTACTATCAAAATCTCTTCTTCCGATAGGCAAGTTAGCTGAGTTTTCATCACTTCCTGTCTCACGCCGTTCTTGTATTGATTCAATATTTTCAACCTCAGCATTTGATGGAAAAGTCATAGGTCCCTCCAATTCAAAATAAGGAAGCTTGTTAACACTTAAGCTCTGTGGCTGGCCGTAGTTTATGACATGATGTTTATAACCTATATTCTGCACTCCAAAGAAAAAGTAGACATGAAAATAATGCAAAATTTCCAAAATAAAAATATCCTTAACCCACTAATGAGCCATTTTCAGAAAAGAGTTCTGATTGCAGCATAAGCTATCTTGAAGTTTAGTTTTAGTTAAAGAGGTTTTTCAAGGAAAGACATCTTAATACATATCCAAGGGATGCTAATGCTAAATAACATTGATTTGTTTAATTAAATGTAATGATGCCAAGGTCCCCTTAAATATTTTTTTTATTTGTAAATTTAAGTATTAATGAAGTTAGTAAGAGCAACATTAGGAATTGTTTTTAAACAAGCAGAAAGGCATGTATTTCATTTAAGCTCTTAAGATTGAAAACACAATATTAACATTTTCAAATATAACAAAACAGCATTCTGTTCACCTCATTTTAGAATGATAGCCATTTCAAATCACATTTCATACTTTAATTATATAGCAATAGCACTTAGACCTATATACTGCCCCATAGTGCTCTGCAGCCATCTCTAAGCAGTTTACAAAGCCAGCATATTGCCCCCAATAATTTGGGTCCTCATTTTACTGACCTCAGAAGGATGGAAGGCTGAGTCAACCTTGAGCCGGTCAGGACTGAACTGCTGGCAATTGGCAGAGTTAGCCTGCAATATTGCATTTTAACCAATGCGCCACTATGGCTCTATATATTGGCATATTCCAATGTTTTGTTACAAATTTATGGTCCATCATGCTAATTTATGTTACACGATAGCTAAACAGAGAAAACTCACTGAGAAATGTGGATTACGGTCTTCATCCAGAAAACTGCTGTCCTCCATTTTATAATGCTCAAAAGAAGATGCAGGCAGAGACTTTCCAGCTTTGTCACCTTTCTGTGTTATCTTTCCAAGGCTGAATGTGCTTAGCAGCATATTATCTTCTGCTTTTCGCATAGACTTTGAAACAGAAAGCAAAGGCCCTTGAGACAAAAGAGAAAAAATCAATAGTAATACATGGGATGAGATATACATTCTCCAATGTTTAGATGTTTTCATGGAGGTGAACAAACTTTAAATATTACTTAAATGAGGCTAATTTGAAAATAGCACATGGACGGAAAAATGGTATTATATAGCTTGCGAAGTGAATAGATACCACTTCAATGACTTACACCCTTTTCAAAGAACTATGAGTGAAGAGGACTGACCTTTTGTATATCATTACATGTCTTTTGTTCCAAACCATAGGTGATGAGCTGCTTTTCAATGCATTCATTATATAATTTGGATTATTTTATCAAGTACCATGGGATAATTTTCTTCTGAGTTCTAAGTTAATCTTTAAATTCCACTTCATACAGACTCAGGAAAGAATTAATTTGTGGATGTGTGGAAAAAGAAAGGCAGAAAAACTTCATTATTCATGCTTTAAAAATTAAGGCTTCTTGAGAAGTAAGAGAAAAACAGTCTCTGTGAGGAAGTCTTAAGCAATTAAATCTTACCTTAAAGAGAATTCAAATCTCTTCCTACTTATCCAGACAAAAAGTTTCATAGGTGTACATAAAATAAGGGGACATGGCAGAGGTGGGTTTCAGCAGGTTCTGACCAGTTCTGGAGAACCGGTAGTGGAAACTTAGAGTAGTTTGGAGAACCGGTAGTAAAAATTCTGACTGGCCCTGCCCCCATCTATTCTCTACCTCCCAAGTCCCAGCTGATCGGGAGGAAATGGGGATTTTGCAGTAACCTTCCCCTGGATTGGGGTGGGATTGGAGATTTTACAGTATCCTTTCCCTGCCATGCCCACCAAGCCACACCCAGAGAAGTGCTAGTAAAAATTTTTGAAACCCACCACTGGGTCATGAATATAATTTTAAATATGCCAAACTTGTGCTTTAATTTTGAAGTAGATACCATGATTCCTGCCTCCTTAGGAGAGAATGTTATTTAAACAAACAGGAGTTGCAAAGCCTGTCTTTGCCTCATAAGTGTTCAGAGGAGACAGATTTAATATAGAAATAGTGACATGAGTAAGGAATAACTTGGCTTTGTGCTTGCAAGGTTTTTCTCAAGCAGCTTTTACTGAGAATTGTCCCCCCCTTGCTCCATAAAGGTATAAATATGAGAAAAGGTAGCATGGAGGAGCATTTCTGGGACAGAATTAAGAAACATTGATCTTCATTTAGAATACCCCGCCTTCTGCAATGCATAGTTTTTATTTCGGAAGCTTGGCTGCAACTCAGTTGGATATTTTCAGTAGCAATGTCTGCATTGTGAAATTTCCTTAGCATAACTGCCTCTCTGGTTTGCTTCAAGAAGGATGTAAAAACGTTGTCAGCACTTCAAGCTACATTTACTCTAGTGCTGACATAAGAAGGAAAGGCGGAGGCGTCTGGAAAGGGACGTTTGACTTTTCACCTACTTATTTTCCCTGGAGATAATATCCCCTAGGAGATGGGATGGGAGGGGGGAAATTCCTTTGAGCTGGAGCAGTAGATTAGGGGTAGAATGACTTGGAAGATGGCCAATGAGTGCAGGGGAGTGGGGAACGGAAAGGGAGGATTTTGGGTCTGGAAGTCAGTGTTGGCTTCTATGGAGTCGGATTAGAATGTCATGCTTAATAAATAGGAGTTTTTCTTCAAAGATTTTGTTTGAAATGCAATTTATTTGAGACGACCTTGAAACCTGACAAATGTATTTTCACAATCTAGCCTTTCCCTCATAAATCTGGGTTTGTCTTTTGGACTTTTTAAGTTTATGGTATCTTTGATATACCTTTGAGGTCTTGATTATTTATTGTCCTTTGGTTGTAATTTAGAATTTATCTACATGGTCACTAAAGAGTCAATACCTAATGATGGCACATTATTATTCAGTTGGTTGTGATCTATTTTTGCATTGACTGTTGCCAATGTTTAAAGAGTACAATATTCAAATATGACAAAGACATTATTTGTTTTACAAGTTCCTCCTTAGACAACTTCTAGTCACAGATTAGAAGATATCAAACAATAAAAGAAGCCAAGGAATATAGGAGTAATTCAAGTAATGGCATTTGAATTAACTGTACTAAGCTTCGATCAAATATCCAGTAATGAATGTACACATCAGTTTGCACAAATAATGAATCAAGACGAAAGAGAATTAGTAATTAAATTAGATATTTAAGGTCTTATTCAATGGGGGGGGGGGGGGGAGAAAACGAAGAGGCTGCCAAACAAGCTGGTGGATGGACTCAGATTGGCAATGGATGTGCCTTTAGGAGATCAGATTAGGGACAGATCGTCATGGAGGATATTTATGTGGTCACTAAGAGTTAACGTTGAGTTGATGTCACATAATCAACAAACAATGATCATAAAACAGTACATTTTAAGACTGAACCTTGATTGTGAAATAGATTACGAACTATTCATGTGCATGCTCTAACTCGATTTCATTGAGGCCAAATCAGGGTTGTGTTTGACCTCGGGGGCCAGAGTGGGTGTGGCCAGCTCGATGTCACTCGCATCGGAAGTGCCTGTGGTGGCCTGAGTGCTTTGCCAGTGAAAACAGGCTCCCAAACTCTGTTTTCAGCTTCCATGGCCTCCTGAACCCTCTGCCAGTGAAAAGGAGCTTGGGGGGGGCCGCACGTGGCCCTCCCGAGCTCTGTTTTCACTGGCAGAAGCACCACAGGCCAGTCCTTCGCTTTTCCCAGGGCGGCCCCATGGGCCAGATTTAAGTACCCTGTGGGCCAGATCCAGCCTCCGGATCTTGAGTTTGACACCCCTGCTCTAGATAAACTAAAGCAAAAAGAATGCCGACCATTTCCCACGATAACATTTTGAACATATACCTTACTAATTTTAGAGAGGGCTTCCAGAATCTCTCTGAAGTCCTGAACCTCAGTGATAGGACAGAAACTGGAATGAAATCAAATAAATTGTTGAGATGAAAAGGGACTGCCAAAAACCTAGATACAAAAGATAGCAAATTGGATGTCAGAACAAATGGTAAAAATTGCCAAGAAGAAAAGAGAAATCAAAGCCAAGAATGACAAAGGTTTCAGGAAGGAACTTAAAGAATTTCAGACAGCTGTTAGATGAGAAGCAGTTATCTAACAACATCTGTAAAGACTCATATCTTGCAACCTTGAACTGATATGCTAAAGAATGATAATGGAAAGATGGTCACTGATTTAAAAAGCCAGCAAGGATGGAAGGAGTATACCAGTGGTGGGTTCTAACCAGCTTTACTACCGGTTCTTTTTGTGCACGCGCTTTGCGCGTGATCACCTCTTCGTGCACGCGCTTCGCACGCGATCGTCGCGCGATCTCCTTCTTTGGATTTGATTCTTTATAGGTAGTCCTCGACTTATGACTGTAATGGAGCCTGCCCATTTATGATAAAACCTGATTTTGTGACCTTTTTTTGTGATAGTTGTTAAGTGAACATGGTCGTAAAGCGAATGCCATGGTCATTAAGCAAACACCATGATTGTTAAGTGAATCAATGATTTGGTTCACTGTGAGCACAGTTTTGCCAAAAACTAGAAGTAAATGCCGATTTTGGCAAAACTCGTAAAACATAGTCATGTGACTGAAGGACACTGCAAGTTGCCGAGTACCTGAAATTTCGTAACATGAATGCAGTGAAGCCTATTGTTGAAACTTCAAATCTGGGTCATAAATAGCACCAAAATAAGCTACATCATAACCTCCAACCCTAACCTAACCTCCCTAGAAGAGATCTGGCTTTTTTGTGCTCCTCAAAAGGAGCTATTAATCATATTATTAGATTTATGGACAACAATATCCAAAAGGTGCATAGAATTCAATATAATTTTTTTTTGGCCTCCAAAATGTTGAATAATATTAGCAAGGTAGCATCCAATACTGGCACATAGAATATAATAGTTTTATCCCAGAGGTCTAAATTTCAGCATAATCACCTTTCTTGTTTAAGTTTCATAAATACGTTTTAGCATGAAGAATTATAATGTTAAATATTAAACGAAAATTATTCAGAAAAAGTGAAGATGGCATACTTTTTTTAAAAAAAAGTAGTGACTGTTTTCTTAAAATAAACCAGTAGAAAAAGATCAATATTAATAAACATAGTGTTTAAACAAATGTAGTCTACATTACCATCTATAGTTTTGTATTTTTTGTAATTCTTTGCAATTTCCTTTTCTCTCATTTAATCATTTATAGCCCAGAACTCTTAACAGGCAGTTAGTACTTTATGAAAGTAAAATATTTCCAAAGTAAGCCAAAGTAATTTCTAAGAATTTCTGTCTATGTGCTTATCGCAAGTCATTCTTGGTAAAAAAAACAACAACAACAACAAACACCTCTGTTTGAACCTAAGTTCATGGTAGCAAGAGAAATTCTGAGATTCTGAGTTCTGCTTGTGAAGATTTCAGAAGAAACAATTCGGCACAAATGTCATCTAAAGACATTTTTTGGGGCTCACTCTCCACCCCCTCCACAATTTAAATATCCATTTTTCTTGTATTGCAGTTACTTTTGAGGAGGTGTAGTGGTGGTGGGGAATATGTAACTGATATTGATCTTGGGCTAAACTCAAAGCTGTCTTGCAATCAGTGAAAAACAAGCAATGCTAAAAAACGTACGTTAAGTTTCTTAAAAGTACCATGGCAACACTAAACAGTTGTGGCCAACTGTAGCCTAGTACGGATAGTTCTCGACGTATGACCATAATTAAATCCAGAATTATAAACATAAGTCATGGCAGTCATTAAGCAGGTCACCATATGACTGCACCCAGTTTTATGACCTTTTGTATGGTGGTCATTAAGCAAATCCATTGTCTGCAATGGGTGTTTTTTTTGCTGGAAATCAGAAGTAAGCTCAGCTTTCTAGCCAAAAATCTCATAATTTGCAATCATATGACAATGGGACGCAGCAAAATGACGGCTGCTGAGCACCCAAAAGGTGATCCTGTGACCGCAGGCCAGCCGTCAGAGCTTTGAATCCAGGTCCTAAGTAGCCCTGGTGGTGGGGGTTCCTTTATAACTTCAAATGGTCCTTAGGTGACCTGTTGTAAGTCAAGAACTACTTGTAGTCACTGGCTATTTCTTCCTGTTGGAATACAGATACA